GATTTGGGTGTGTTGGCACAGCTTGCGCGCGAGCAGCCGCCCCCAAATCCCTCAGCCGGCTCCCAACTTTTAAAGTTCGGCTCGGGCTTTTTCGGCCGAGCCAGAGGAAAAAAAACATGCAACCTCTGACTCCAGAGGCGAGCACCGGCAGGGTGGTGGCGGCCGGATTGGACTCAAGGAACACTCTTGTAGCAAAACTTCACTGGGGGCCCACAACAACGAGACTTAGTGATAAATATAATAACATTCGTGTCTACACTGGGTGAGACCCTCTAGTCACATTCTGAAAGAGTTCAATTGCTGAAGAGTACCTGTAGGTGCGCGGTATGCAAACCTAGATGAACGTGGTGCGGGGCTCCCCTCGTGATAACGGAAAGTATTCATTTGTTCATTGGCCAGCACTGGAAATGAAAGGCTTCTCGGTTCGATTGCCAAGGGCCGCCAAGCTTGAGTGAGCCAGGGATGCCGAGCAAAATCAAAGCCACATGTCACGATCGCTCCAAAAGCCTCTGAGCAGTAATGAACGAGTGGATGGATGCTGCACAAAAGGCTTTCATCAAATGCCTCGTGGCTCGGCTGATCCTTGGCCTCAACTCATCCCTGTCATGGTGCGAACCCCGCCCTGAGACCCTCCAGCAAGCCCTTGTCATACGGCGTCCCATCCAACTGAACCAGGCAGCTCGACTTGCAACGCGTCAAGAATCCACTGGCACTTTGGAGTGGGCGAATAGCCCGCCTTTGGGGATTCAAAAGGTGCTGGCTGGTCGCTGGTCGGCCCTCCCTCGCCATGACAAGGGCTTCATCTCCCCAACCGGAGGGGTCCCAAGGATTTCCGCAGCTCCGGTGCTCACACCGGCTCCCAGTCCGCTAGTCTTCCAGCACCTTCGACGGAATCAAACCCCGGCGCTTCTTCAGTTTTCCAGCTCCTACAAAAGTGACCTCTGGCCAACCGCAGGAATCCGAAAGATGCGAATGCGAACAAACCAGAAACCTACTTTCATGGCATCCTCTCCCCTCGCGCCGAATTGGCGCCCTGGTGAAGCCGTCTGGTGCTCAAAACGCGCAGAGTTGCTTTAGAATCACGGGCCGGGCTTGGCCGAAGTTTCTGTCGCAGGGCAGGCTGCTAGAAGAAACGTGGTTCGCCTTTCTGAAGTTGCGTGGCGCCAGGTACAACTTGTCATGCGGCGCAATCTGGCAAGCCGACATCCCAATCCCCAGCATCAAAGACGGAAGTCCATCCACTTCTCTTTGCTGTTTGGCGGGCTCGCTCACTTGTTGCCAAAGGTAAGAAGACCAAAAGTGTTGACAGTTGAGCTGCTCCCAGCGGCGCCGCAGTCAGAAAGCAAGAATATAATCGACTGCTGTTACTGCCCAGGAGGGGAAGAAAAGGAAAGAATACAAAACGGGGAAGAAGACACCTGCCATATTGGGCTTCCGGCTGGGTCCTGCCACCCCCTCCTGGCATCGGCGCTTTGACGACGCTTCGACACTTCGCGGGCCTCGCGGCTGCGCTTCACGCGCGGCGCGGTGCCTTGCCCGCCCAGGGCGAAGAGCTCCCGTAGCTCTGCATTGCCGAGATCGGCAATCCACCCTGGCAGCGATGAGGAAGCCACATGCTTGGTGGACACCCCAGTTTATTAATGGGGGGTGGCCCTGGGTTTGCCCTGGGGAATCAAACCACTTTTGGAGGGGAACACCCAACTGGGGTTGGGGTCAACATTAGTCAGGAAGTCAAAGTGGAAGGTGTGATTTTCATGGTGCTGAGAGTCTGAAGGATATTTTCACAACCAACCACATTTGCGTCCCCTGGCCAAGTGGGAGAGAACATTTTCAGCAGGCGCCAACCAACACGAACGGGCATGCCAGCTGAGAGCCAGCCCCTGGCCTTCGCCTGATTGGACAGTCCAGTCCGAAAGCCGTTGTTTCCTTGGCTTTGGCGGTCCAAGCAAGTGAGCTTTGATTTCCGTCCAGCTGGCCCCAACGCAGGGCCCCAACGCAGGGCCCCAACGCAGGGCTCGCAGTCAGTCAAACCCCATGATGCCGCGAGGCATTTCCATGATTTGCGCAAGCCTCTCTTCGAAGGTATCCTGGCACGCCGCCAGGCCCCCCAGATCTAAGTTGCACGCCACCCGCTGGACCCATGCAAACCCTCCCCCAAGGCCTTGCACGTCAACCTGTGGACGAAGACCGTCTTTGTCTGTCCGATTCGGTGCGCCCGATCGGTGGCTTGGTTTTCCTTCGCCGGGTTGTAGCATCCTGGGCCAGCTAGCTGGCTTGCTTTGTGTTTGGCATGCCAATGGTCGGATGGCATGTCCAATGCTAACTCTTGCTTCTTGGATAGACGACATCTCGGTGCAACCTGCCGTTGGCCGAACTTAGGCTTGGATAGCAAATGCGAGAAGACAGGGAAAAAAAAAGAATGAAGATAACGTGAAAGGTAAAAGCAAAGATATGATGAATGAAAAAGAAAAAGGAAAAGACGAATACACATAAGAAGTGATAGAATGTTTGGTTGTTTACTGTGAGCTGATAGGCCCTGAAGATGTTTCTATCAGACAAGTAGTAAATGAAAGTCAATAAGACAAACCAACTTGTATTAATAAAACTAGAACTTAATACAGAAATAAATAGTAACAAAAAGTGCCTAGGAAATAATGCAAGACTAAGAGGCATTGAGATTACAAACAGCAAGATGATAAGCATAATAAATATCGAATAAAATAATAATTTTAATATGATAACAAATAATACAATTGCAATGCCAAATTGAAAGGTAAAGATAGGAAATGCAAATATTGTGTGTACAGTTTTTTAGTTTTTTTTTCGCTTTCATATCTTCCTTCATTTATTTTCTCATTCTATCCGTCAGAATATTTCAACAAGTTGGAATGAGAGATAGAGGGATGAAAGAAGCCGTCTGGAGAAGCTCCCCCCGTTTCCTCGTTCATCATCTCTTGGTTTCTTAGATGGCCACTCATTCACAGTCAAAATCTTCCCCAAATGATGGGCTGTGAGTGACAGCTCTTTCCCATTCACCACCCATCTCTCCATTCAAGCTTGGCTTTCATGTCATCTGGATTCTTCAGTTCTAATTCTCTTCTCTTTGCCATCTCATCCTTTTGATTTGTTGAGATTAGTTCAGAAGGAAGTGATAAGATATGGCATACCTGTACTATCTTCTGTCCATGTGTTCCTTCTTCATTGCCTCAGTCTTCTCTGTGAGGCATGCAGGGATGGGGAAGGGAGACACACCGAGAGACTACTTTCCCTTTCATATGATGGTTATTTTCTGTCCACATGCCTTCTTCTCTTGACCGCGATGCGGTTCGACCTTCATTGCATGGGATGTGGGATGAGGGAGAGAATGGAGAGAGCGGACGGAGGAAAAGAGCTGCATCACAAGAAGCTTGAAAAAACAAAGCAAAGCACAACGCAAGCAAGAAAGGCATTTTGGTGTATTCTGTCGCACTTGGTGCAGTTGCAGGCACGGTCGAAGTGAACCACATGCGACGCCGCTGTCAAAGTCACGCCAACTCCACCAGCCTCGGAAGGATCGGATGAAGGATCCGAAATGGGGACACTGCTGGTACTCAGTCACCTTCTCATATTATTTTGATATATGTACATGCCGTGACGCTATTAAAGAAGATGTTCATGTTTTTTCAAACAGAAGATGCCTGTTCTCTAGGGACCCCCAAACATATTAAATAGAAGAAGTTGTAATTGCAACTAGTACATCCAAACCATACTTTGGACTCGCACATGCTCATTATCTTCTGTTGGAATCGCACCATGCGTTCCCCAGGCAAATGTAAAAACCCCGTGCTTTTAAGGGTCTTTTACAATATCTTCTATTCAAGTGGGGTGCGTCATTGTAAGTCGATTCAAGAGTACCTCCAAATAAGAGGTAATGGCTGCAAATCAACAGTTTTGATATGCTCTTCCAGAAAAGCTCAAAAACCCTGTGACCGCGCATTGTTTCACCGCGGCCTTGTTGCCACCAGCACAGGCCGGCCAAATTAAAGATAGCGCGCTTCCCAAATCAAACAGAAAATATCCCGCTTTCAACCACAAACTCGTCAAACATCAGCCTTGGCATGGTTGAACAATTTCGATTTAAAGCACGCGCAAGGTTTCCCTTCTTTCCCTGCTTTCAGCGTCTTTGTCAGCAGGGCCATCCATGGCCAGATTCTGCTTTTGCAAGCAGATAAATCGACATGGACCAGTGGTATTATTCCTACCTCATATGCTCGACGAAAATGAAACCCCGAGCCAATGCTGCCCCGGCAGCTTGAAGGCTGATCAGCATCACATTGTTTCCTGGGTCCGTCTGGAAGATCTCCATAGCCTCCTCCCGCTGCTCGTTTGTCATGCTGCCAAGGATCTTGCCCACCTACCAGGGGAAAAACCGAAAGACAAACAGCTCCTTGCAACATAGTACCTTTTGAGAAGAGGCGTCTGGAAAGGAAAACACTTGCCCGCGCAAGCCTTGGTGTTCCACTTCTCGCTGATCTGCTGCTCGAGCATATGGATGGTGTTGATGTGACTGCTGAAAACTAGCACCTTATCGTTCCTTGCCGCGGCGCTCGAAGTTCAAAAACAGACAGTCGCACGTGTTCTGACTGCGACTTGAAGCCACCCAATCCTCCAAAGCAAGTTGGGAATCCTACGGGCACTTGGAACACACGGTATCTCTGGCTGCCCTGCGCTTGATCAATGGGCTCCTCAATCCCGACGAATGGCCGTGTGTGCTTGATGGCTCTTCAATCCGCCGATGACAGTCAAGTGCGCCAATGTTCTTCTGGCACTCAGTGGTGTGAATGTGGTTCAGGTGGTTTGGATTTTGACTCAACTGGTTTGGATGTGGTTCAAGTGGTTTGGAACATGGACATTCACAAACTTTCGGGCCAAAACCGGCGCCAAGTCAATCTCTAGCTGCTTGCCGGGCTGCGCTGACAAGATGCTCTCGAGCAGCTCGTGGAGCTTCTCGCACTTGCCGCTGAAGTTGGTGGCGCTCCGAGGTGGGAAGCTGCGGAACTCCGGGCCCTGAGGCGCCGGCAACGGCGCACTTGCTGTTGAAGCCAAGAGGCCCGGAAAGGGGAAAAGCCAAGGAAGAGGAGAAAAAGCAAACGTTTCGCAGACGTTTCCGCGGCCAACATCTCATTGCCCTTGTCTACGCTTGTTTGTGGTGTGTGTGGTGTGTAGGGTGCTGGTGTGTGCTGGTGTGCGCTGGTGTGCGCTGGTGTGCGCTGGTGTGCGCTGGTGCGCCTGGTGTGCGCTGGTGCGCGCTGGGGTGCGCTGGTACGCGCTGGTGAGCGCTGGTGCGCGCTGGTGCGCGCTGGTGAGCGCTGGTGCGCGCTGGTGCGCGCTGGTGGCGCGCTGGTGGCGCGCTGGTGGCGCGCTGGTGCGCGCGGGCGGGTGC